TTTGGGGGGGGGGGGGGGGGGCTTGTGTCGCCCTGTTTTTTATTATTGTAGGCTCATCAGATAACAAGATAGTGCGGCGGTATCGTGTGGTGGGTGTTCCCTGCGGTGGGGGGAGTTATCTTATGTAGTGCATATATGTGCAATGGACGGTACGCCACATCTAATGTAAATCAAATCAACCCGATCACTATACGCAGCAAACTATACCGGAGGTTTCTACGCCATATTTTCGCTGGTCAGCTTCACTCTCGTCCCTCGCTGCCGGCCGACACGTGAAACAGCATCCAACCGCCTGTCAAATGTGCATGGCACGGTAGACAAGACGCCCCACCACCACTTTTTTTTTTTTTCTCCGTAGACCCAACGTTGGCCGTTTCGCTGGCTGCCCGACTCTTTTTTTTTTTTCAAATCGAGGAGTGATTGAGCTGGTCGATCGACTCGATCAATTGTCCACGGTCCGGTGTGAGAACAACAGCAACAGCGAGCATCGACCAACGCCTGTGCGCATCATCTCTTTCAAGCTCGGCGGTTGAAGGGCTTGTTTCGTTCTCGCAATTGCTCCGGGGATACAGCTTGTTCGCTTAAGGGTTGGGAAGGAAGGCATCACAGCAGCAGCGCAGAAGCAGCAGGAGGGAGCGGAGGCTGGACGATGCCAAGCGGTACGGGCAAGGACGTTGCAAATGGCGGCAACTCGGTGGAGGAGAAGAACAGGGTCGCCTTGGTGGCCGTCTCGTCTTCCCTGAGCTACTCCTTCTGCTCGGTCTCGATGGTCATGTCTAACAAGGTGAGTCGAGCGCCACGCGGTCTCTCTCGATCTCGTCGTTGCACCCGGAAAAAATGCGTGCGTCTTTCTCTCTCCTCACGAACAAATCGCTCACCCCCTCGGACTGGTGGCTGCGTACAACGTGCTTCGTGATGAAGCGATGAGAGCCTCCTTGTAGCCCTCTGTTTGCGCCCACCTGCCCGTGCTATTGGTGGGCTTCAGTACGTCTGTTTGCGCGGGTCGGGTGGGAAATCGAAGCCCGGCCTGGTGTGTGTGTGTCTCCACAGCAGTGTGGCTGTCTTCTCTCCCCTCGCCCCCTCTCTTCCATCTTGTCGCGTATCACGCTGTGTCCGTCTGCTGCTGTTGAGAATTGTTTCGTCATACGAGGAACACTAATTGTTACGGAGCTTTGTTGTCGGCAAGACGCAGACCCCGAACCTTCCTTGCGGGTGCATCCAATACCTCATGCCATGCTCTGTCTGTTGTAGCTTCTTGCCGCTAGGTTGTAGCCGCTTGTTGATAGCAACAAGCAAGCGCTTTGCTCTCTCTCACGCAAACAAACGAGAAGAAAGCGGACACACCTACAGCAGCAGCAGTTCCGGAGCTCGCTCACTTGGCAAGAACTGCCGACGCGATGAATGTGGTGTCTGCTGTTCCGTGTGCACATGCTGCATGCCAACCTTTGCACAGCAGTCGCTGCTTTTCTAGCAAGCTTCCAGCTCGAGCCGTATCGGAAAACTTCCATCCGTTCAATACTCCCCGGAAGTTGTCGAAGTCGGCTACAGTATTAACCCATGGCCCCTGCGGAGATCGGCGGGTACACAGCAGTACCTCATAAAACGGGTACATACGCCGTTTGCCGTGCTCGGTCGGGGAGAACGCGGAGCGATCGATGTGTTCGAACCAAATCGTACACCAGCGGCAGTGTTCCATGTGTATGATACTATTCTCCGACGTGTCTTGTGCCACGACTTAAAAAACATGGAACAGCAGTTGGCGCAAGAGGATACCGGACGGCGTGCAGAGCTACGCTTACCGTGTCGTATCATATGCATACTAGTTCGACAGTATATCTTCTCGAGCTCTGAGCACACCATCACAATCACAGAGAGAAACGCAACCTCACTGTTAATATTACCCGATCCTCGTTATGATTAATGTATGCTATGCATATACTGCTGTAATCGAAGAAATTGTGTTCGATGCGGACAGTTTGCCCTGGCGGCAAACTCACACGGAAACTTCTGTGCATCGGCGTTGGCTGTGTGCTGCTACCCTCCCCTGTGTATCACGGCGGCCGGTGTTCGTTTCGCGATTTATGAACGCCAGCATCACTACGATAGAGAAGGGACGAAACTCATGTAGAAGTACACATTTGGTCCTCTTGTTATGTAGCGCGGTCGATGCTATTAGTAATAACGACACGCACACGTTCTGGCCCAGGTACCGCTTGTGTGACCAGCCAGAGGTGGCATGAGTTGGCATGAGGCAGAAGGGCAGGGAAATGCTCCCCCAAAAAGTCGGAAGGAAAACGCGTGTCACATTTCACATTTCACCCAGAAAATTTCTCCCAAATTTCCTCGTTTCGTCAAGCAAACGTATTTGAATGACTGTGAACGTCCTGTGCCAACATAATGTGCGGGTGAAGACGTGTGAGATCTTTCGATCGATGATCGATCGATCAATTTTCAGAGGTCGATTGATTGCTCCACCACCAAGAGAAGAGCTAGAATACTTCGTACCAATGCTGGCAAAGGGTACCTGCACCGATACATGTGTGTCTTCAAGATCTACATAATCTCGCCTTGCATATCTACTGCTGTACCGGGCTGAATGTCGGTCGGATTTCGCAGCCTAGCTGTGGAGCACTCGGTCTTTCAATAGCATTCGGTATCATTGGTGAGGTCGACTGGCGGCGTTTCCGGCGGACCCGCGGAATTGGACAATTAACCCTATGGGCCCCCAGCAGTAGGCAGTACATGTGACGCTTGGGTGCTTGCGACAGCAGTTTCGATTACTAGAGCCGGGCGTGCTGATTGTCTACTGTATGCCATGAAACGTTCGTGAGGGCTCGGAATACGGGTTGCCACGTTGCCGCCACCGGTGCGTGCTCCTCGCAGACCAAGCCCAGGGCGGTATGGTTGGAGCCAAGGGCTGGGTGTGGTAAGGAGTGAACACTCACGAGTAATTTGGTTGGGATCAAGCGATCTGGTAGCCAGTAGCTTGGATGGAAGCGAGAGGGAATGGTGGGGGTACCATGGGGGCAATGCTTGGATATACCTCTGCTGTTGGTGTGCATACAAAAGATGCTGACACGTGGCGACGCATGCCCGGGTAACAGAGACGCGCCAGAAGAGAAAGGCCGGATTAACTGCCCCCCTAGTGCCGTTACTCTTGGTGATGCAAGATGTAACACCCCTTAAACCGATTTTCTAAGCTCGACTTCTCCACAGCAGAAAGAGTAGGGGTGCCGACAACGGCGGCGTCGGCGCCGTCTCGTGGAGAAGAGCCTTCAGTCCGAAAATGCGCCGGCTTATTTGGGCATCCTCTTGTTCGTGGAGTAATTGACAGTCGGTCCAGAGGGTGTGTCGTATCTTGTGTCGCCCACGGTAGGCTCGCCTCCAAGAGAGTACCAACTAAATTCGAACGCAAAGTACCCGTGCACCACATGTAGTTCATGAAAGGCGCTTCTATATTGCCCCCGAAGCAAGAGTGTGGCGCTTGTCTTTGACCCATACCTCTCTCCTCCCTCCCTCCCTTCCTCCCTCCCTCCCTCCCTCCCCCCACCATTCCCTCCCACCCTGCAGCTGTTAGCGTTCACCTATAAATCAGACATGGCGTTTCTCGTGGTGGTGGGGCAATGCTTGGTGGCGACGATTCTGGTGGAAGCCGTCCGACGTATGGGATACGCGTCCTATGACCCCTTCAACTTCTCCACCGCCCGGCGATGGCTGCCAGTGAGCATATGCTTCAGCGCCATGCTGTTCACGAGCTTCAAGGCTCTGGAAGTCATGAACGTTCCCATGGTGAGCGAAACAAACTCCGTTGTATGTACAACTTGCGGTTGGCGTAGTGGTGAAGAGCGAAACTTGTTTTTTCGGCATACGTAACACAACGGGTGTTTTGTTTTTGAAACCCTTTTTCGGTGTGTTCCTACTCTTGAATTTGACCGTGTAGTATGCGTGAATTTACGTGTACATCAGTGGTGCAGTAGATACTCTCCGTTTGTCGCCTGTTTTGACTTGCTGACAACTTGCAGCTGATCACGACTTGTCGGTGGTAACAAAATTTTCTTCGATCGCTTTTTGCAACGGCGATCCCGGGGCTTTTCCCGTGACGAGGGTGGGGTGAAAAAGGCGTCTATCTGTGTCTGTATTGTTAGCGGCAAGGCAATCAACTACCTTTGGCGTTTACACCACCGCCGTCTGTGCCGGTCTTGTGTTCTTGTGTCGGGTTGGCCTGCCGTGCATGGTAATATCGAACGGAATAGGCCCTACGTAGTGTGTTGAAAACTGAGGCGATGAAGACCAGTTTATTCCAGACAAGCTTGGTGCCGCACGCTTGGTGCCCCCCTCCGAAAGCAAATAATAACTAAAAGTGCACTCACTTCGCCAATAGTTTCATACGGCACTTGGACGGATTTATTTCGCAAGGGGATATTTGCAACTACTTTCCTTCAAGCTCTTGGGGGTGCCGGGTAGTAGTGTTCTGCCTTGACCAGAATCATCCAATGTCCGATATTCTGAAAAGCTTGATGTGATGAGGCCACACACACTCTCTGGACTTCTCGACACGCGTTGATGGCTGTGCCTGGAAGCGAAAGAAAGACCTGGGGGCGACTTGGGGGTGCGGACTGCGAAGGCACCGGTTGCTATTTTGACGGGGACATGTATCGTGCCTCAGACGCAGCACTCTCGTTCTCGTTCTTAGCGGTTTCGCCGCTGTTCCTCGGAGGAGGGTTAAGGGCGCAGAGGGTGTATAGTGACACCGCATTGTTGGTAGTTGTCGTTGAGGTTGTTTGACGTCGTCCGTTTCCGCGTGCGTGATCTGAGCGCGAAAGGCAAGGTGCTACTGTGCCGCCAGAACAACACAGGAGTTTTCGTTCGTGACGCCATCCATCCGTGCTGACGTTCGCTGCCCCGTTCCAGGTAACGGTGTTCAAGAACCTGACGAATATTGTCATCGTCACGGGAGACTGGTGGTTCTTTCAGCAGGCAGCATCGTGGTTGGTGATGTTCAGCATGGCCGTCATGGTCTTCGGTGCTCTCTTTGCGTCGTACAACGACCTCGATTTCAAGTGGGTCTTTTAGAGAGGAACGAGGAATCATTATTCTATGAAACGTGTTTTTTTTTTACCGGAGTGCAGCACTAGTCCCGTCAAAACGGCTACCTTTTTTTCAAGAATAGACATTCTCGCACATGCCGAACCGTATCG